TAATAAGAATCTTGATTGTTATTTTAATTAAGATATGTGTACATGTATGAGCATGCACATTCACAAAAATACCTCTCCACACAAAATCCCAAGAAATAAATGGAGAATGTTATAGCAACATTAAGTATCTCTCAATTTATTTTGTATGAATGCATATTTTTCAATATTTGTACAGATAACATGTTTCAAAATTTTTTTTTAAATCACTGCATTAAAATATTATTTTCTAAGTAAAGGGTGTTTCATTAAGACAGATTATATATAAGGGTGTTTCATTAAGGCGGATCAAAGTCAGCAGTAAATAAATGAGTGTTATTGGTGAAAATTTATTTATTTCTCTATTGGATCATGTTATTTAAATCATGACAATTATGTTTGAAAAATAATATCGTCCAAATGTCTGAAAAATCTGAAAGAAAAAGAAAAAAAATCATTAGATGCTTAAACTTAATTCACATTTAAAATCAGTCCAAGTTATTGGAACACTCTTTATAATCTTTACAAATGTTTTGTTTTTTTAATCATTTCGCCTTAAGCAAGGTAATAAAGACACTAAGATGCAAGGTATTACTGAGTGTGAAAGAATATGGGAAAAAGAAAACATAGTTAAGGAGAGAGAACAATAAAAGAATAGGAATTAAGGAGACAGTAGATAACAATTGACATTGCATTGAAATTTTGTAGATCAAAGTTGACTGGAAATCAAGAAGCTGCATGAGAGATTCACAAGTGAGAAGTGAGAGAGAAGAAAGTGTTAGCATAGAACTTATAGTTACACCTAGCATATCAACTGTAAGATGATGAGACTTTGCCACCAATCTAGTAGTATGCTTAAATTTATAAAATCTAGGTAACCAAGAGAAAAATCATCAGAAGAATTACCATGAAAATATTTATATAAAATGCACAGGGAACCTATGTTACAGTGGTGGGAAATTGACTGAAGCCAAGATGCCAGGTCATGACAAATAACATTACAAATTCTTCTTTGTATTTTATTTAGAATTTCTAAATAAATTTCAGAAACACCAGACCAGATGTGACAGCAATATTCAATGCATGAATAAATAGTAGATTTATAAATGTGTAGGTTAGATTCTGACAAGAAAAAGTGTCTAGCACAAGACAGGGAATCAACTTTCTTTACCAGTAGGACCTAGCAATTGATTCAATATACTATTTCACAATGTTTTATATATAAAATTTCATATTTTATATTATATATGATTTGATTTGCCTTTATCTGAAAAATACATTTTAATACAAAAAGTTCTATTGCATACATTTTATATATATTATATATATATATATATATATATATATATATATATATATATATATATACCTGCAACAACAACATTAATTGAATCCTATCAAGGTTGTTTATGGAGGTTAACAATTCTGCTGCTAATTTTTGGATAGGTATAGTAATTATTGGAGAGTGGTTTGTTCAAATGTTGTTTGTTCAGCAACTCTTTTGTCAATCACTTTCATAACATTCTAGTGCTGAGATTTTGACAAGATGTCTAGCAATTAGCCAGAGCATAGAGAATAGTGGATCCATGTATTCCTAAAGGATATTAATGTAAAGTGAACATATAGAGCCAGAATTTAAACTTTATTTGCTAATTCTGTTTTTTTTTTTATGTGAAATACTTGTTAATCTATCTGACCTCTCTCTCTCTCTCTATATATATATATATATATATATATATATATTTGTCTGACGATAATTATAATAAAGTGTGAAACCCAGGGTCACAAACTCACATCTATCCAACCAAATGTTAGCTTATCTCTGATATTGAGCGCTTTCTAATAAGTACCGCAATATATAATATATAAATAATCATAGATATATATATTTATATACACTTTATATATATATATATATATATATATATATATATTTATTTTTTTTTTTTTTAAGAATTTGTTTATTGATATCAAGTAATTTTTTTATTCAGTCCCCTTGAGGAGGTACCGTGTCTTGAGAGAATATTGGGTCTCAAACTCACACCTGACCTCACGTGGAACTCTTATATATGATTCATTGCTAAAGATGTAGGTAAAATGATCAGCTTCCTCTACTGTTCAAGTAAGTACCTGACTCCTCATGCTATTCTCTACTTTTACAAGAGCAAAAAATGGAGTACTCTTGACATATTTGTGTGGAGACTGCCTAGTCCTCACTTTCCAGTCTTGATAGGGTTCAAAAACATTTTCCACCCTCCAACGTCTCTCTCTCTCTCTCACTGGTGGGATGTGGTGAGTCTCTCACTGCTCCTATTGCTACTTCCATGGAAAGTGCTGGGATTGGACTACATTCTTTGGTTCTGCCAGGTCTAACCCTTCACAGCTAGGATGCGCCATGCCACTTATATTGTAGTGAACAAACTGCATTCCCTCCGTATTCCATTGGTGAGAAGTTCCACTCAAACAGCTTCTTCCCACAAGCCACTGCTTGTGGAACAGACTCCCGGATCACTACAATCTTAACCTGTCCAAGTCTAGAGTTAACAGTTATCTTTCTATCCATATAAACTACCCCTTAATATAACCCTTTACCACGAGTGGCTCCCATCCTAAGACTAAAGAGACCACTCTATATTGATATTCTGCTCATTGCTAGAGTGAGAAGTAATTGATTCATACCTTACCCAAGAGCGTTCATGTGGTGTGAATGCAACAACAACTGCTTGTATTTTAAATTGGCCAGCAGATTCTGGTGCCCACATTAATAACTGCCATGCCACTAGCACATCACTATATATATAAATTAATTTTCTTTTTTTTATATACTTCTAGGTCCATCTATTTTAATATAATTTTTTTAAAATAAATATGATTAATCCCAGTTTATTTTAAATAAAAAATAAAATATTTGTCCCCTGTTTATTTTATATATATATATAAAATAAAAATCATGTCTATTTTAAATGCAACATATATTTTTTAAATAAAAAGCTGTAATCGCTGTATAAAATATGGACTATGCTAGCTTTGCATTAACCAGATATTTTTATTAAAATTTAAATTATGTAATCGTTAGTCTCTATGCAGCATATTATATATTTATATATATAATATATCACACATAGTGCTGGTGTTAATAAAACAGTGCTTGATGTAATCAACAGAGCTATTAAGTATATATTAATAAATATACATACTATCCCTCATCAATAGCATGACTCAGTGTTTCATGCACAACACAATCATCAGGTGCTAACGTTTACATAATTTAAATTTTAAAATTATCTGGTTATCACAATGTTGGCACAGATATATATTATAATGGGATTACAGGTTTTTTTAATTTAAAAAAATATATTTGGCATTTAAAATATGTATATGTGTATATATATTTATGTAAAAAAAAATTTATTTTAGAACTGTTAATACTAATTTTTTATTTTTTATATAAGACATAAAAGGAGATGACTTGTTCTTTTTTTTAAAAAAAAAAAAGAATTGCAATTTACATTAAAAATTAATCTGGAACAACGTAATTAAGCAAATATTTATTTTTTATGTCTACATGTAACAATTATCATTTCTCTTGTTTAATAAGCTAAGGTTATTTAAGAATTTTAACTAATTTTTCAAGACATAAATTACATCTATTTCCTTTCCTATTGTAAGATTTGGCTCTTTCTATAAAATATCCTAAGTAATAAAAGGGATATTACTACCATTCTTTAATTGCCAGAAATATTTAGAGAGATCAGTGCTGTTTTTGTATTTTATATTACCTAAAGTCATTTGATGACAGTAACACCGACATTTCCAAGAATTTTCAGTGGAACCAAAATAAAATTTAACATCATTGCCAGAATGTATGCTAGCTTGGTATACAATATTATCAGTCATATTGGTGAGGGATAGTATATATATATATATATATATATATATATATATATATATATTGTTGAGGGCACTACTTCTAATTAAACTAAAAGCAGTGGCAACAATTTTTTGATATGCTAATAATGGATGTAAGCAAATGGAAGACATTTTCTACAAGCTGATATTTTAAATTTTGGTTTTTATATAACAGAGTAAAAAAGATAAAGAAAATACATACATGCAAAAGAAAGACGACATCACAAATTAGGAATTATGTGGGTGATACACATGCATGAGAATAAAGTTCAGTCATTAAAGGAAAAGATATCCCCATGCCTGGGAACAAGGTCCCAGTGGTGTTGTCACTAAAGAATGCTGGGAGGAAAAGACAGATAAGAAGATGAAGACAGGAAGTCTTCCATTTTTATAGGTGCTTCACAGTGCCACCTAATGACTTCTTGGCAAAATGAGCAAAGCTATATGGAGATAACCTTATATATATATATATATATATATATATGTATGTATGCTCCTTATATTATATAAAATTGATGACAAAGATATTTTTTTATTTTCTTATATAGTTCACATGTGGGAACAGTAAAGGTTTTACAAATTGCAAAATTTTTAGCTATGACTGTAACCTTTTGGTACTTGGAATTGAATATGTTTTTTTTTAAATGGGCTAAATTTAAAAGTTAAAGACTTCAGTGCAAAAACACCAATCATTTAGTCATGGCCACTGATAAAGACTTTTAAGGCCTCTGCCCAATCTTATTTGTGGGATATTTTTGTTTTTTTTAGACTAAAAGACTTTCCTGTGTGAAGAAGTTTCTATAAGTTTTACTATTATTCTTTCTATTAATCAAATAATCAAGGAATCAAAAAAAAAAAAAAAACTAGACTGATTTTTATGGCTTATCAACCTTTTGCCAGAAAATATTTTTAGATTGTAAGAAGTTTTTTGGAGATAATAATACTTTACTGATACAAATCCTACTAATTAATCCACAGCTGGGAGGAGAGAATGTGGATTCATACCTTTTTCCCCAAGGGTATTTGTTTGTAAGTGAATATAAAGAACTTGACTGGAATTGGAACTCAACTCTCCAATTTCCAATTCTGAGCTGTTATCCACCCACATATTCAAGCTTACAGCACCTGTTATTCCCAAGTGGTCACCTATCTAGGTACTGACTAGGCTCAATGTTGCTTAACTTTGGTGGTTGTATGAGAATTGGTATTTCACTGTAACACACAAGATATAGTCTTTTAGTCTACAAAATCAAAAAAACGTAACTCACAAATACTGATGATACTTGATTTTGATCATAATATAAATCAGTTGTCTCATTTCTTCAATAGGGATTTCCTAAATCTTTAAGAAAATCCCCTAATTCATTCAGCGAGCCTTCACTTAGACGACAACAAAAATTTTGATGCAGTTCTTTGTGACTCTCTCCATCTTATCAACATTTACTTATTTTTCTAACTACATTTATATACATTACAAATTAAGCACAAAAGATTTTAATGTCATTCTGGATTCTTTATCCAAATCCATGAATTTCTTTTGCTCAGGCTAAATCTTGAAACAAAAAAAAAGACAAGGTAAGATTATTTTTTACCCATAATGTTGAATGTGTTAATATTCTCAAGTTGATGCTAGAAATTGCTGCAAAACATTGTTTCTTACATTATTTACATTATTTGAACTGTTATCCTCATCTTCGTTGCCATATTCACAATGTTTTGGCTGTTGTACGCACAAGCCTTCTTCAGGTGATTGGAATTTTGAACCAAACCCTTTATTTCGTCCACCAGGGTAGATTGTTCTAGTTCAATGTGTTATGCCTCTTCCAGATATCTCAGTTATTTCCCTTTAGCTCAACTCTCCAAGTTTGGTTCACCATTGCTGTGGCCTGATATTAAACTCACAACTCTTAGATCCAGTGACTAGACAGTCACTGGATCTAATCAATGTCTTTATCCACTAGGCCATGTGTTGTTGTGGACATATATTGACAGGATGAGGGCTTAGCAATGCGCTCATCATTATCAATGGCAAACCTATACATGGAATACTTTGAGGAAATGGCATTAGAGTCAACACCACTAAGGCCAACCCTATGGCTGAGATACACAGATGACACCTTTCAACTTTGGCCACACCAGGAAGACATCCAGCTACTACTGGACCATGTGACCTCAATAAGATCATCGATACAATTCACAATGGAGCGGGAAAATGACAATAATCTCACCTTCCTGGTTGTACTCATATCTCAAACAGAGCAGGGGTTCAACACATCCATATACCACAAGCCAACATTCACCGGACAATAGTTCAACTTTGACTCCCACCGTCCATACAGTGTAAAGAAAGGGATCATCCACTGCTTACAACATTGAGCAAAAGTCATAAGTGGTGAGCCAGAAACATACTAACAAGAAATGATCAGTATAATCAGTACCCTACAACATAACAACTACTGTAGGTATATGGTAGCAGCTCAAACAAAATGGGATAGAAAGGTACAAGAGGATAACAGCACTCAGAAAACAGTTTGCCTACTCTATGTGAAGGGACTATCAGAGAAAATACAAAGGATCTGTGGTCCATATAACATCAGGACAATCTTCAAAAGTGGTTCAACACTTCACAGACACCTCTTCCGAGTAAGACCCCACCATAGAGGAGAACATGACTAAGGACTGTGTATGCCATCCTGTGTAGCTGTGGTAGTAAATACAAAGGAGAAACAGGCTGCCAACTTAAAGTAAGACTGAAAGAACATCATAAAGCAGTAACATGAGGAGAAATAGAAAAATCAGGCATAGCTGACCACATATGGAGGGAAAAGGGTGATCACTGCCCCCTGTGGGATGAGGTTGAAATAATTGACAGAAAGCATCACTGTAAAATACAAAACTTTAAGGAATCAGCACATATGCTAGGCCACAAAAATCTCCTGAGCCGACCAAGTATAGATATAAATACAATATGGGAACCTGTAATAAGGAGTGCTAGAGAAAAGCAATGAATGACAACAAAAATTGCAATATAAGCTCTGGTAAAAAATGCAATAATAATAACAAAATGAAAAATTGCAATATGGGCACTGGTAAAAAACGAGTTGCTGACACATTAGGTTTATAAGTTCCAAAAATTCATATACAGATGTCCTCAAGGACACATGGCCTAGTGGATAAAGACATTGGTTGGATCAGTGACTAGACCCAAAGAGTTTTGAGTTTAATAGCAGGCCACTGCAGTGGAGAACTAAACATGGAGAGTTGAGTTACAGAGAAGTAACTGAGATATCCGGAAGAGGCATGGCACATGGAACTAGAACAATCTACCCCCATGGATGAAATAAAAGGTTTGGTTCGAAATTCCAATCACCTGAAGAAGGCCAGAGTGTACAACAGCTGAAACATTGTGAATATGGCAATGAAGATGAGGATAACAGTGTAAATAATAATAGCAACAATGTTTTATTGTGTTATTTATGATATGTTCCTAATTTGTATTAGATATATTGTATTTATTTTCAATTTTTCTAGTTAAATTGTTCACCTATATTGCTTATGATCCATTATTGTACATTATTAGGTTAAAATAAAATCCGTATTTTATATGAATATGATCTTATGAAAATTGTGATGTAGTAGAATAATGGGGGTATACATTTGGAGATCCCATGAGACCCTTGCACCAACTCTCTCTCTCTCTCATATATATATAAGAGAGAGAGAGATGGCAATTATGTGTAGAGAACAGATATATTTTACAATAACTATTTAATAAAATATTGGATGTAGGGTTAATGAATTCAACAGAATATTATTATAGTTGAAGCAAATCCTATGTAATCCTATTGAATTGAAGCAAATCCTATGTAAAATCTAGAGATTTTTAGGTTATACAAAATGAATTTAACACATTTCTTTCTGCTATCTGATATTCAAATTCATCTTTCAGTTTTTATACTTGTTCTGGGGCCAGATTTATTGTATAAAGATTGGAATTTGAAAATAATTGATCCAAATCAAGATCCAGAATTTCCATTTAATTCATTTTTTTTTAAATACTTTGAATTTGCAAAGGTGTTATGCATAAATATTTCAACTAATTTAGACTTATTTTCTTTTTTTGTCTACGTTATTCACATGTAAAGTTATACATGAAGAGTCTGCTTACATTTCACATTAGATTTGAGTTTGTTTTCTTTTTTACCTTTTCTTTTGTTTTTGATTGTTTATATCATGAAAACACAAGCATTGTAGCAATTAACTTGGAATTATCTAGTATTACAAGACAGAAGATATCAACTTAGAAAAGATAAAATCTGCAAATAATAAATCAAGTGTATAAATTTCCAGCAAATCAATATGCTAATTAGATTTTGAAATTTATCAAGTACAACTCAAGAGCAAATCCATGTAAAAATATTTTTATTCATATTAATTTTATTTGCTTTTTACTGATTAAGACCACTCTAAGGACACTTGTAAATACTTTTGGTTTATGTTGGTAAATAAATGATAAAATCTATTTTTATTCTTTTGTCAAGGCTACTTCAAAAAAGACAAAGTTACACATGTGAATCTAATATGTGCCATTAAGTTACAGCATAGATCATCATGGTGAAAGATTCATTTATTTTGAAAATGACGATTACATCACGTTATTGTTTGAAAGCAGAGATAAAAAATAGTTTAATTTGTGCAACTAAGAATGATAATACTTTATCTAATATCTGCATTAAAATAGGCAAGATTTTTTTCTGTCTGTGTTTCTTATGTGAAAGTTAATTTATATTCATTAGACTTTTGATGATAAAAATATAAATGCATTTTTATAATTAATAAAGACAACATATATGAAGAAGAATTTGTTCTGAGTGGTGACAAAGGCAAAGATTTGCTATGTACTATTGAAAAGAGAAAAAAATGGATGGAAAATATTTATTAGCTAATTCATGGAAGATTAATTTATTTTTCATTTTTATCTATGAATACAAAAAAATGCTGCATGGATTAAAATTCTTACACACACACACACACACACACCCCGAGGATAATCCAAAAGTAATGCCTCTTATTTATTTCTGTAGAAATTACAAGATACAAGATAGAGCAAGTTTTCAGCAAGAAAACACAGTTTTCCATATTGGTATCACTGTTAGTTCTGTATTTTTTTATACTAATGTTCACCCAATACAAGGCGCAAGAGCCACTTAAGGTAGAGGGTTAATGTGGTATTGTATGAGTATAAGAAAAGGCAAGAAATGAAATTCATGAGGTTATGTAGAAAAGATAATGGTTAACCCTAGACTGGAAGAAGACAAGATTCTAGTGAATGGGAAAACATTCTGTCAGGATTCTGTCTCACAAAGCAGCAGACCTTGGGAAGAAGCTGTCCAAATAGAACTTACTTCTTATTAATGGAATACAAAAGGAATGAGAATGATTCATCCTTGTGTATGTGGCATAGTGGGTCTCAGTTGCAAAGTTTCAGGCAGAACCAAGGAATGTAGCTTGCCAGAACATTTAACATGGAAATATTGATAAAGTAGTGAGAGGTCTGTGGGAAAGGGATTGTAGTGTGGAAAATAATTCATCACCCACAGGGCCACACAGTAAAGACACTTGTAAAGATAGAAGAGTGTAGCAGGCAGAGTCAGATACTTCCTGATATGGTAGAAAGAAACTGGCCATCAACCAAAATGAAGAACTTGCATGCTGCACTTGTAAATAGTTTAATAGGAATATATAGGTTCATCTATCATCAAGTTCACACTCCTCAGTGGTCTTTTGAATAGGAATAGAGGTTTATTCCTTGTTTCGTGTTTAGGATTGGGTTTCTGGCTCCTAAAGTTTTTCCTTCTCTTTCACATCCAGTGGTCCTTTGCATCTTGGTGACATTATCACCTTGCTTGGAGTGGTACCTCTTACTCTGTAACCCTCTGCTTTGAGTGGCTCTTCGGCTTTGTAGAGAGTGAACATCATTGTAAAAAAAGATATGGCTTGTAAAATACATTGCATTTGCGTCTGATGAAATGCATTACACTCTGCTTAACTATGCCCACATCCACTGTCTGGTCTCTATAAATACTCATCAAGTATTAAAGAATGTTTATGGGTACAATTTTTCTACATGGAGGAATTCATTGATACATATCTGTTTTATGTGCACTTTCATATCAGACTCCATTTTTTCATATTGTCACTCAGTTGCTATCTGT